GTCCAGCCTGGAAGTAATAAATGCATGAACTAGTTTTTCAGCGTCACTCTGAGACAGGATATTTCTAACTTTAGAGATGTTGGTCACAAATGGAAGAACACAGTCTTACATATTTGTTTAACATGTGCATTGACAACACATTCTCACTCTCGAAGCGTAACATTTTACGCTAGGTGACAAATCGTCCGTATGTTACGCATTCAGAAAAATGAGGAAACATGAGAACCGTTTGGAATGAATCTACACATGTATGTTTATTTTACTCTAATCGCTTTGGAAAACACTATCTAACATAATTAAGGTTATGGTTAGGGCTGGAATACACAGCTGGAACGTGTATTACCCACCAGCTTGTGGATGAACTCCAATAGACTGATGCTCCCGGCGGTATCATAGGGATGTTGAAGGTTACCTTTCGCGTTCCTGAGGGACGCCTCGGGACCTGACAAATCGTCGGTATGTTGGGCGTTGGGAAAGAGAATGCTCTGGCATTGAAGGACATATCCTGGTCAAAAATGACTCCAAGGTTCCTCACAGTGTTACTGGAGGCCAAGGTAATGCCATCCAGAGTAAGAATCTGGTTAAGATAAGACTTTATTGATCCCACGATGGAGACATTTTTGCGTTGGGATCAAAAAAGTCTTATCTCAAAGTCTTATCTTAGATCCCATATTTCTATGATTTTCAGGGAAGCGTAAAATAACCTCAGTTTGATCTGAATTTAGAAGCAGAGAATCAGAGGCCATCCAGGTCTTTATGTCTTTAAGACATTCCTGACAGTTGGATCACAACAGCTGATGAGTCATTCCTGTTACTCCCCCTGTTGAAAACAGTTACAAAAGAAAAAAATGGAAGTTGAATTTGAGGTATTTTCATCACCTGGATGCCTCGGCTCGACTTCTCAGCTAAAGAAAGTCTGAAGTGAAATGAACTGAACACGCTCAGTGTGAATGTTCTCAGGAGTAAGAACATTAAAAACATTCCCGGGAGTGTCTCAAAGGCTGAGTCTGACTGCTCTCTAAACCTCTGCCAACATCTGGAGAACATCAAGAGATAATGTGGCCATTTCAGTCACATTTTCTGGGTTAAGACAATTTAAAATTATATGAATAATAACTGAGCGAACATCCAAACTTCCCCTGCTCCTAACTCAACCTTCTCCCTTGACTTAGGAGCCTTTTTATACTTCAGTCATTCATAAGTCAGAGAGAAGTAGCTTCATAAACAGAACATATTGTTTCAAAGAGCCAGTGTCTAAAGAAAAATGTAAAGGCTTTCAGAAAGCTGGAGAACTATTGCTCAAGAGCACTTCAAAAAATTACAAGAAGGTCTGGCTGCTTGGAAGCAAAATATACAGAAATGAGGGGTGGCTCTGACCTTTGCACAGTACTGTGAGTATATATTTCTAAAAGCAATGCACACATGTACACGTGTGGCGTAGTCACAGTAATAACTTCCATAATACTTTGCAGGACAGGATCAGGAGCTCATCTTATTTTCCTTTAGCTGCAGCTTACTGCCATGATGTTTTTAGCAATAAAGGCATGAACTTTTTCTAAGCAGATAATTCACTCCTTTATTAATTAATCTCAGGTTATACGGTATTAAATCTATTATAGCACCAAATAGAGACCCTACATTAATAAAAAGAAAACAGAAAAGTACCGGAAAAGCTGGTACTTCAGCTTATATCACTACCACAGACTGTATAAAACAGACCCGAGCTTGTATGTCCTAATTGCTTACCGGCCCACGTGAGAACAAATTTAAATGCAGTTTGACCCACTTCAGCCACCAAAAAACACCCCGATCAGAAAACAGCTTACTGTAGATACTCAGACCAGCAGCAGCTTACAAAGACAAAATATTCATATTGAGCAGAGTTCAGTTTGCTAAATCAGCTTCCACAACTGTTCCAGTTTCTCCTGTGGCCCCTTTTGAAAATTAATTGCCCTCCCCTTTATAAAAG